ATCTGGTCTTTAAACCACCAGTACCTCGCCCAGCTATGCAGTCCGACCCTCAGCCTCAGGCGACTGGTATGCCAAGCCTGCCGAGCCTGGAGGTGCCAGTCGCAGGACAGGCGAGCCTGGAAGAACCAGTGGAAAAAAAAAAGGAAAAAGAAAAAAAAAAAACGAAAGAAAGAAAATAAGAAAAAGAAAAAAAAAAAATCGAAGAAAGGAAAATAAGAAAAAGACAAAAAGGAAAAAAAAAAAAAAAAGGAAAAAGAAAAAAAAAGCAATGACGCGAGGGCCGTTTTTGCAGTTCGATTCGTTCTCCAAAGTGCTGCTGTGAGCATGGCCTCAAAAGAGGGTGTCTCAGCCCCGTAGCGTCTTTGTCAGACGGGAGAAAGGAAATTTAAAGAAGAAGAAGAAGAAGAAAAAACAACACAACGCTTTCGCCCTGATTGCGGTTGGATACATTGGACCAGGTGCCATTTGGTGGAAGTGCCAGTGCAACGCTTTCGCCCTGATTGCGGTTGGATACATTGTTGGAAGTGTCGGTGCCAGTACGCCCGTTCGGGAACATCACGGAAACCGCCCTGCCTCGCTGGCAGGGGACTTCTAGAAAGGGACAAGAACAAAAAAAAAAAAAAAAAAAAAAGGGGTACCTTCAGTAGAGTCACAAAAAAGGGAGTTATAATTGCACTATGGGGCAAGATACTGTTTGCAATTGCACTTTGGGCATCCTACACCTGGCCAGAGATCTGGGTTGTATACATTGCCTGAACTGCAATTTGAAACTGTATCTTGGCCCATTGTGCATTTACAACTCATTTAATATGTGACTCGGGTGTAGTTCCCACCCCCCGCTGCCCCCCCCACAAAACAAAAGAAGGAAACAGCTTGGTGAATAATCCCCCACTATTGGATACATCCATTCTTGGCAGAAGGAACTACCTTCTTCCCCCGAATACAATGCACGGGCATTATAGCTGCATTCGGGGTATCTTTCAGTTTAAATACAGCTATAATGACCGTACGTTGTATTCGGGGGAAGAAGGTAGTAGCACGGCCTCTGTGCCACTGTTCCCCGACATCATAGCACTACGTGAAGGAGGTTCTTTTCTTTTTTTCCTGCGCCTTTTGACACATGAAATGCAGCGACCGGTTGCTCACTGCACCTACCTCGGTCCAACGCGTCCGAGAAAATTAGCTCGGCGAGGTACTGGTGGTTTAATTGCCTTTTTTTGGAGTAACCTTTCTGCTTACAAGGTCTATTGCAAGGACTTTAGGAATTTCTGTCTTTAATTGGTTTTTCTGTGGAGCTCTGCTGACTCCAGTCTTCCCCCGAATACAACGCACGGTCATTATAGCCGAATTTGGTCTATCTTTTAGTCTAAATTCAGCTATATAGCCGAATTTGGTCTATCTTTTAGTCTAAATTCAGCTATAATGACCGTACGTTGTATTCGGGGGAAGACTGTAGGTTAATTACAAGGAAGTTAGGTTGACATTTTTTTGTTACTTTCTTGGTTGAATAACGGGGAGGTGGGTGGGTCTGCGGGGTCTGTGGTCACAGACACAGACCCCTGCAGCGCTGGTGGCAGGGTGGATCTCAGGGTTGGGTGGTAGGGGTTGCCTTTGTAGGGTTTGTTTTTGCTGTTTTTTCTTTAGGTTAATATCCGTGTTGTGCATAATAGGGATTTTGTCATTTCGTTAAATTTGCAGTGAGCTTTGGAATGGATTGTAACCTTTTCTAGTATGATGTGAAGGACGCTGGACCCGTTTTCCGGCTTTTACGCTTTAAATTTTGCTTTTACGACTTTTATCCTTCAAAAGCGGCTGTCCTATGAACCGAAAAAAAAAGAAAAAAAAAAAGTTTATAGGGATTTTTTCCCCCTTTTGCAAAATTTAACGCAAAAAGTATGCGAAGTCCCAGTATTAAAGACGATAGGATTGAGCGCCTGAATCTGGACGTGCTTTATGCAGAGATGTAGAAAGCAAATCAATCACCATTTTCTGCACCTTTCCAACATACACGTCCAGATTCAGGCGTTCAGCCCAATCCTCTTTACTGGTGGAACCTCGCCCTGTAATGACCGTCAAGGATCGGGCAATAGCTCACATCCAGCCAGATGAAAGAATGTACCTGGACAACATGTAAGATTGCCATTGAGTTTATTACTTTGTTTTGTTTTTTTGTTTTTTGTTTTTTACAATCAATTCATGGCTCCATCTATTCGTGGGGAGCAGCACGTGCTGGAAAACGAGTCCAGCGTCCCATATACATAAAGATCAATCAAATTACAAGCACTTGCTGCAACCCATACTTCTTCTCCAACCAAGGGCCAGCAGAAAACGTTTTACCCGTAAGCCTCAACGCTATGCCTCTAACTGCCCACTCTCAGCAAGACCTTGCTTTGTTAGGTCCATACATATCATCTAGTCTGTTCTAGGCAACTATGTACTGCCTCACAAGTTACATCAACATTAAACAACACAGATAGTAGCCAAAGGAGTCAAAGCGCAGGACTATCCTTCACATCCGTACTGATGGGAGAAACGGAAGATTATCAAGTTATCAACCCCTCTTCTATACCATCTACTCTGTGAGGGTGAGCAAAGACCAATGCTCACTAATCTTCAATGAGCTCAATCACACTCCGTGTACTTCACCTGCCTTACTTCAGAAGAGTCTTCCATTCAGATACGAACTGGTTCATCGCCACACTCTTCCCATCCTGTTTGCTGTCTGATCAAAAAGTTGCTGGAAGTTAGCCCTGCTATTCATCCCATCTCTCTCTCTCTCTCTCTCTCTCTCTCTCTCTCTCTCTCTCTCTCTCACACACACACACACACACACACACACACACACACACACACACACACACGATCCTTGAAGATCCTCTTTCTCCCTCTTTGACATAGATCTATTGCGGCCCTACTTTCTGTCGATGCTACTATAACCTAATCTGAGCTAATCCGTTTGATCTACGCCTTCCCTTATCTTTATTTCTCTCTCTCTCTCTCTCTCTCTCGCTCCCTCTCTCTCTCTCTCTCTCTCTCTCTCTCTCTCACGCGCGCGCTTTTGCTCGTCCGTCTATCTTTTACACGAGGACTTAGCTCCCACAGAGTTGAGTATTGCTCCTTTGAAGCTCCTCCATTTGCGATCTTGTATGTTATCTCGCTCTCCTCTCATTGCGTTTCACAGTGTTCCATGGGAAGGACCCTTTCAGGGTTCTTCGGTTTGGAAGTGTTCTACTTGTTCGTGATTTCGCCGTCTTGAATGTTGCCACCTGTCTGTCGTTCTGCGCCGCAGCTCTTGTTTGAGAACCCCATGCTGCCTGCCTCCCTCCACTCCTCAGAGGTCCAGCCCAGTCCCTCCTCTCAGCCTTGGACAACCTCATGTCTCTGTTGCTCGAGCTAACCTGTGTAGCCCGACGGCTCCAAGAACCCCCTTCCCCGTGCTGCGCACTCGGGGGCATGGTGGTTAAGCTCCGCACGGCTATGCACACGGCACCGCCGCGGCTATGGCTAAACCCTAAGATCGTGCCGCTCCCGTCACGGGAGCAGAGCCCTACGGCGCCCGCTACCTTCTTCGTCCACTTTTTTCAAACTGAACAACTTTTGCCTCCTTTTTTCTTTTTTTTTCCATGACATGACGTTCATAGGAACATCAGACTTGATCCAAGTCCCCTGGAGGGATGCAGGGGCAGGTGCGCCGCCAACGGCGCCGGTAGTGCGCTCGTGGACTTGCGCCGCCGTCTGGAGTACCGCAGCAGGTACCAGCCGGCCCGTCGAGCGGTTCTAGCGCTACCGCAGCGCAAGTTACCGCGGTGAAGGCGACGATCCATGGACATAGCCATGGTGGCTGGTAACAACCGGCCTGTCCCCTTTCACCACGACGGAGGATTTTACTCCCTGCCATCGCCCCAGCGTACCCTCATCTCTTATCTCGTACCTCAGCCGAGGGCGTATCAGTAACTCAGTGGTAACGGAAGGTGCGCCCTGCAGCAGACCGAGAAGGCGGGCCAGATACACCGAGACGGCGAACTCGTGACAGCGACTTCGAAGCCAGCTCAGTACGATCTCGTTCTAAGCAAAGGAGAGGTAATTTATTGTGGTAATTCACGGTGGTAACTCATGCCATCCTGCTTTTTTGGCAACGCCGGGCTCACACATCAGGTTTTGCTGTAATTCCGCTTCGTTGAATGTATGCAAGGGAATGTTAACCTACTGGCGTAATTCACTGTGGTAATTCCAGTCCGAGACAACTGATCTTTCGATTACGAAGGGCGCATAGATCAGGCTTCTGGGTGCTTATATCGGGATGAAGGTTTACGGACTCGGTAGGCCTTGATCGCAACTAGGGAGTCTCTTGGTCCCAGGAGAAGCTTCTGTGACAAGACCTATACACGATATTCTGTTCCCACATCGCTAGGTCGCCACTCTAGACTCTCTTAGGCCTTTGATGAATGTGCGCTGATCCGTAATTATTGAGTTGCGAAGCCACCCCCTCCATAGGCCATGAGCGAGTCACTCTCCCTCCCAAGCCCTAGTACCAGAATAACGATAACATTGGAAATTTTGGAATTTTTGGACGCTCGTATTCGAGTAGGTAGAACTGGCTGTCATCATGACGGAAGTTAGGTCACATAATTTCTATTAAACGTCCGACGGACAAAACAGGTAATGTAAGTAGGCGAACTCGATAGGCGTCGAATGTATGTGTGGAAGGGGAGACGAACTTAGGCTAGATTACCAGTTAATGTTTCGGCTGCGCTCGGGGGAGGAAGGACTAGAGCACGCTTCGGCGCAATTACAGTGCCAAAGGTCCGGTGATCCGTGAAGAGTAGACAATTAGCAAAACCCGTCAACCGTCCTCAACCCACACTACGGCCACCCTACGGTAGACTTAGATTCCCTGGAAGGCAGATCCCACACGTTGAGCTCCTGTGAGCAGTGGCGAACGCGGACCGAGGACCCGGCACAAGTCGGCGAGGTTGCTGGGTACATAGCCAACAGACGCGAGCCGCCAGAGAACGCGAACAGCCCACCTAGGATCAGCTACCACGGTAAAAGACATAGATACCAATCTCGACCCACCACCGGCCCCCCCTATGGAGGCGCTCGGGGGAGCAGAGATGGAAATGGCAGACAGAGGGGAAGAACCCCCTCAAGGGGGTGAGGACGAGGGCTTTGAAGAGAGGGTGAGAATGCTCATGTCTTTGTGTTACGATGATGGCCTGTGCCCCGATGATGTCCCAATAGATGACGTCGAAATTGATGAGAACGAGGCGGTAGTAACGGTGAACAAAAGATTTGACGAGATCAAAATTCAGTGGTTAAAGGAAAGGACAGTAGTTATAATCTTCAGAGACGAAGCCAGAGATATGCCGAGGAGTGTTAAGGAGGACGTAGTTCGGGCTTACGAGAATGGATGGAAGAAAGACGGGACATTCGAACCGCAGGAGGGAAAGGGTAGAGTGAAGTTTGAGGGACCGAATGTGATCTCATATGTGGCAAGGGACATGGTGGTGGCAGAATGGATGGTGAATGAGGGGTTGGGAGAAGTCAGGCTAAAGGGCAAAAGCTACTCCTTTGAGATGAAGAAGTGGATGCCAAAAGCAGAATGGAAAGAGTTTCGGCGAAATGAATTAGAAAACACCTTCTGGGTGATCGCAATTCAGGTACCACTGGATGCATACTGTTACCTCCAATCCTCGCTGACAAGAGTAATAGGGCCGGTACTGAAGATGGACTCCCCGGATCGCTTTTCCTCGAACCCGAGACTGCTGAACATTAAATGTGAAATTGAACCAGAATGCAGGTCTAGGTTCAAAGACCGTACGAACGATTCAGGGTGACATGGTGGAAGTCAGACTAGCAACGTCTACCACCGCCTATTGTACCAACTGTAAATGGTACTTTCACACCGAGGATCAATGTTCGAGGAAGAAGAACGACCTCAACAGAAGGAGAAGTAAATTCGCTTCGCTTCAGGTAGGAGGGCCCGCTCACGCAATTCGGATGATGATAGCCTTTCGGAATCGTCTAGTTCCCTCTCCAGCTCGGCCTCCCTAGACCGGAGGCGAAGAGGAGGTGGCCAATACCGAGGGCCGCTATCCCATCAGAATTCGCGGAATGCAATCATGCGCAGTAGAACGCCCTCCCCAACCCGGTCAATACCACGCCAGAACGGAAACGCTACCGATCACAGGTCCTCGCTAAACCCTGTCTTCTCCCCCGGTCTAGGGGGAGAGATAGATCCGTACGCAGCCCAGCTGAGAGGGGGAACGGACCTCCAACCAAGAATGCAAAGGAGCTTCATTCCTCCAGAACACAACCGGTTCCTAGGATCCGCGATGTCCCTGCTGCTCCAGGCAGCAGCCCCCTCAATGGATGAGGTGGACCACCAGCACACAGAACAGTTCCAAGGTAGAACGCAGGAGGTCGGACCAGTTCGCCCAAGACCTGTCAGGATGGGTACAGGCACAGATGAGGCAGGGAACACACCCTGGGGATATAACCCAAAATCCCGAACTAGACAGCCAAGCCCCCCAGCTGAAGAAGAAGTGGCCACCTCAGCGGTGGCGGTCCAGGGAAGAAGCGCCAGAGGTCAATCACCATTGAAAGCACCAAAAACCGTGAGATCCCTGTCACAGTCCCAGGCTGATCTCACAGTCCCAGGCCCAGCCGCTGCTCCTAGAAGCAGCACCGCAGGATGGCTTCCTAGTGAGGGAAAGGTCCCAAGGCTCGACATCAAGTAAAGCTGAGTCATCTTCCTCAGCACACTCAGGGACGAAAGCGACCCTGCCCCAAGCCGGGGTGAAAACCTCAAGGAGCAGACGAGTGATCACGGCTTCCAAACCACAGTCAACTGCGCTGGAAAAATGGCTAGTTCCGATGGTCTGTTCACTGGTGAACGGTGCGGCGCACGTTATAGCTTGGCAAGCAGAGAAGGCAAAAATCGCGTTTCTCTCACAGATGATAGAGGAACCGGTCACACCTCAGACAGCACTCACAACTGCCAGACAGATCTTCAATGACCGTTTCCCACTCCGTATGGTGCCCGACATGGCAATGCCCCGCCTGTACCAAGAACAAACCAACAGAACCTGCAAGGTGTTCATCCCGGTACTGGACGCTAGTATCGCAGCAGACAAGTTGGAAGCCCTCCTACTGGAGGGCCTGAGGATGATCCCGATCTCAGTCTTCATCGAGGAGGACATTGAATCCCTACAGCAAATTTGGGTACAGAACATATCTGATGCGAGCTTTCTTGCCAAGATCAACGAAAAGCTGCCGCGGAACAAGTTGCTGCAATCGCTTTATCTGAAGAACACACTAGCCCAGAGATGGACTTCCTCCGCAGCAACTGCCCCCCCCACCAGGAACGCTAGCAAACCACCCGCAAGCAGCTCCCGGGGACACACCGGCCAGCCTCCCATCCAATCCAGGAGTCAAGTGGCCCGAATGAATGCATAGGTTGAATATAGGTTCCTGGAACCTCCGGGGAATAGGAGACACCTCTAGGAGAAGTAAACGCGCCCGCCTCAAATCTTGGTTACATAGCCAGAAGATCCAAATAGCATGCATCCAAGAAACAAAGTTAGATGAAAAAAAGATTGCAGATTTAGGCAACTGGTGGGACGGTCCCMAACTCTGGTCCCCAGCGATGGGGACCAGAGGTGGGGTAGGTATCCTACTGCACCGAGACCTTCCGATTCAGATATTGGACCAAGCAGCAGACCTGTGGGGCCGCTGGGCATGGGTCAAATTTGCAGCCTTTGGCTCTGACTGGGCCTTAATGACAGTTTATGCACCTGTGGACAGATCCGAAAG